TTTCCATGGAGGCCACACTATTTCATAGTCCCACCTGGAGAGAATGAGCACCCACTTTCTTGACAGTGTTGGTTCCTTAATGCTGGGGTGACATGATAGCTCATTGTCTTATTTGGTTTGAATCTCTCTAATGGTGAATGATTGCAAGCATTCTCAGGTGTCCTTTGGACACCCGAATGTCTTTTGGGGGTACGTATCCGTTGATCACCTTTCTCCATTTTTTAATTGGATTGCTTGTCTTTTTGTGGTTAAAGTGCTGGAATTTCCTATCCATTTCTGGTATTAGTCCAGGTCAGTCACTTTGTTTGACAGACAAGGAGTAAGAAAGGGAAAGCAGGGGGAGGGGTGGGTGTATAAGAAAGGTAGACAACGCATGGGATGAGTTAGGTGTAAGAAAAGCCCAGGAGAGGGCATTACAATGTCCCAGGCATGACCTCTTCCCGTTTATCTTTTCTTCTCAGCCAGTGCCTTGATCCTTCCTCCTTCATCCCCTCCCCAAGTCAGAATAAAGCCTGATTAACCAGCACCTGGCCCTCTTCCCTGGGGGAAATTTGCAGGGCTGGTGAAGGAGGGCTCTGAGCAAAGTCTCGGTTCCTTTGGGGCTTCTTTCCTACTTCTGATCAGACAGGGTTGCATGTTGTGAGTGTTGACTGTGGACCAGTTTCACATATGTAGATAATACATTATTTCTCACAGGAAGCTTGAGAGATGCATATTATCATCCCTATTGTTAACACACACACACACACACACACACACACACACAGAAACAAACCCATTGCAGAGAGTCTAGAGTGCAGGGTAGAGCTGCTTCTCAGGGTAGCCCCCACTTGACATTTTTGCAGAAGCCATCTGTCACTTCTTCTCTCTCCAACAGAGCAACTGGTGGGCTGAAGCTGCAAATCTGACTGTTGGCAGGGGAATGCTTATCTACGGTGCCCCAAAGGCTACTCATTGACCCCTTTGTATAGGCAGGGAGATTGAGGGTCGGAAAAGATGAAGGAGAGGGAATGGAAGTATACCCATGAATATATGTATGGGTTTAGCAAATGATATTTGTACATGTGTATACACTTTTGCTGAAAATATGTCTACGAATGTGGTAGGACCATCCAGGGGCAGAATTAGGAAAACTTCTCAGACATAAACAAACACATTGAGGGCTAGACCAGGGGAATATGGACTACAGTCTTGGGAGATACTAGGATCAGCTGGCTTTAATAGAGTTCACAAAGACAACGTTATGCGTCCTACTTACTCGCTTGGTGCCCCGTAGCTGGTAAATGGCAGAGCCGGTTCAGAATCAGGGCTGCCTGGTTGCAAAGCCCAGTGTCTATAGAGGTGACCTCAGCCAACCTCCACGCCCACCAGGTAACCTCATAGAATGTGGAGTTTCTTCATGTAACTTTCCTCTACTTCTTAAATGCTTCCTCACCCCCACTATCATGATCCCAATTCTACCTTACAAATCTGGATAGACCAGAGGATGTACATTGGTACAGACAGCGACTGGAAACACAGGGACTCCAGGACAGATGACTCCTTCAGGACCTGTGGGGAAAGGGGCGAGGCCTGGAGGATGGAGGGAATGTGGGATAGAAAGGATAAACCGACTAAAAGAATCTACATATAGCCTCCTCCCTTGGGGATGGACAGCAGAGAAAGGGCGGGGGAGTCATCAGACAGTGTAACATATGACAAAATAATAATAATTTGTGAATTATGAAGGGTTCATGAGGGAGGGGGAGTGGGGGGGGAGGGGGAAAAATGAGCAGCCGATATTAAGGGCTCAGGTGGAAGGCAGTTTTTTTGAGAATGATGATGGCAACAAATGTACATATGTGCTTGACACAATGGATGGATGGATGGATTGTAATGGGAATTGTATGAGCCCCCAATAAAATGATTTAAAAAAAAAAGTGGAGTTTCATGATCCAAATTTTAGCTTTCTTTTTTCTTTTTTTTAACCAGTGTGTTAGACAGGGTTCTCGAGAGAAACAAAACCACAATTCTAATAATTTTATATATATTTATACAGTTAGATATATAACATAATATAACATAATAAATAAACAGTTAATTAAATTATAAAACTGTACAATGGCTCAGTGCAACTCACTCCCGTGAGACAGTTGTGAGACACTGGCAGTCCTTCACGTCTTGAGGGCTGCTGGGTAGTCCTCTGTAGAACAATTCAGGCTATCCGGGCACAGGCAGCAACAAGGCAGGTCACCAACAGTCAGCCAGATGACAGAGTCCTACAGTCCCCAGCTCAAGAGATGTAAATTCCAATGGTGTGGCGAAGCAGGTCTTGAAGGAACCTCAAATGACAGCGACACAGTGCTGTAGTGTAGCTTGCAAATTCAGGCATAGAACAAGCAAGGCAGCCGCACACTGGTCCTATGATCAAAGAGCAAGAGCCAAGAAAGGCTTGGCTTTCAATTAATCCCGCCCTTCAATTAATCCCACGTGTGTTTTTCGGCCAGGTTGGCACAATAAACTAACTACCTCAACCAGACTTCTCTGAAGACAGTTCTCATAACCTGAGTTTTTTTAAAAGCCATGTCTTACTCAGTCACTATGGAGATCAGCACTTCTGAAATTGACAACTTGCCATGCATCTGCAGGGTGAAGGTTGTGGATGGGATGAAGGTTAACCACCTGAATTGAAGTCAGGAGGTGTGTGGGAAAGCTGGAAGGCCAGGTGGGGGATTGAGTTTGCTCCACTGACCTTGGGTGTCATTGCAGGTCTCGAATGCAGCTTTGACTTTCCCTGCGAGCTGGAGTATTCCCCTCCTCTGCACGACCCCAGGAACCACAGCTGGTCCTGGCGCCGCGTGCCCTCGGAGGAGGCCTCCCGGTTGGACCTTTTGAATGGGCCTGAGGCAGAGCGCTCCAAGGAGATGCCCAGAGGTAAGAGCACAGGGGACTGAAGACTCTCATGGATGGTGAGGATCTGGCCTTCTTCTCTTTGGCCTTATGAGGTTGTCCCACCCTGAGTCTGCCCCATGTCCTTTTGACCCCTGCTTTAACATCGGTGTCTTTTCATGTCCTCTGGGGTCACATCAGGAAGGGAAGGAGACAAGTCCAGTGTCAAGATCAGACTGATTCTTTCCTTTTTTTACCAAGAAACAGACAATGGATTTCATGTCCTCTTCCATGCTACTTTCCTAATGTCAGATGTGAGATAAAGTGATGAAATGCTTGTCCGTTTGGAGTTGGGTTGACAGATAAAACACAGGACATCCCGTTAAATGTGAATTTCTGATAAATAGCAGATAATTTTCCGGTGCATATATGAAATATTTGGGACATACTTATGCCAAAATTATGCAAATTATACCAGAAAGATCTAAGTTAGTTTGGTATGCTACCTATGTTTTTATTTCCTAAATATGGTGAGCCTCGTTTAGGCGGCATGATAGAACTGGGTTAAATTCAAGACCATTTGTCAATCTTCCTACTGAATGTTTGCTTTGTGTTACATTTCCAGTAGTCTTGAGTTGTTTATAAACCTCCCTGACTGAATGATCAGGGACTGGGAAAGGTAGGTTGTGGAGAAATAGTATGTGCTTGTTAAATATGTATTGAGTTTCTACAAGGCACCAAAAGCCATCACCCAGCTTCAAGTCGCAAGTCAAAACTAGTGCTCCCAATGCCTTGACTTGAAAACTCTGCTGACTTATAATTGGCTGCCTATAATCCTGAGTTTTTAGTGAGAAATAGTCACTGAAATGGTCATGAGCTTACTGCACATTCAGAATGAACTTTCAGTTTGCAAAGATGTGCACCTGTACTGTCTCATTGGACTTCAATTCCATGAGAGGTAGAGCCGGAGGTAGAGCCAATGAGAAAATGACTAGATCCCACAGCTTATCAAGGTAGATCCAGCTCTAGATGTTTGCTTTGATGAGTTCCCTGGCAAGATCATTCTCCATCACTATCTTTATATTAAACGCTATGGTCAGAGCTTTTTATATGGTTCTGTGGCTTGGGGTTGGTTATATCAGACCCATGATACTGGGGACCTAACAGCATCTTTGGT